TGGTGCGTGAACTAACGGTGCTGAGCAGTTCAGTTCTTCGTGCGCCATAAAAAGAGACGACGAACACGCTCATTCCTCACGTGGTGTACCTACAAGATGAGCTACACTGCCAAGACATCGGTGGTCAAACGCAACCAGTCTCATTACATCTGTTGATCTAATGGGTCAGGTTTCAAAACCGTACACCAGGGTTGAGCGAAAGGCAGTACTGCAAACTCTATCATTTAGGGCGAGAATGACGGGAGGACGGCGACATAAGTGAGTGCTCGGTACAGTCATAGATTCATGCTTGAGACCTATGTAATTGGCAACCGCGTGTATGCATCACTATCGACTTGGCAGCAAGTACCAGTTTAACTGGCATTTTCACTTCATTCGGTGCTACAAAGATTATAAGGAACGCACATTCTAAGTGCCGCTGATTCGGTTAACGAGCCGATGATTCCTCTGCCTGGTCACCAGTAACTTCTATCCACTCCGGTTTCTGGTCAGGATTGTGGGGATATTGTTGGAATATATGGCTCATCGTAGATTAATAACTCGTGTGAGAAGCACTAATAAACTGACGTCTGTCGCCCAAATCAAACCAACTAACCAGTGCACTAAAGAAGGGTCTATTGAAGTACTCATGCAGGAGATGAAGAAGGATTCAAAAGAGACGAGAACCATCGAAAAAGATCTAGACAGTAGCTTGAGCGTTAGATCATTGTACGACAACGAATTCCACAGATTCTTGGTAAATAGGCCACTATTCCAAGTTTCGATAGATAGGTGTTTTTGAAACGTACACAAGCCCCGCAGTCCGCTTAGTTTGTAACCAATTAGTTGAAAGCTCTAGGGATCATACGCGTATTTCGTGTGGATGTTCAATGGTCTGAGGAGGTCGTGGTACACCCATTAAGTACGCAGCAAGGGTGGCACGACCAAAGGAAAGGGTAGATCGCTGGTGTACTAAAATTGGTTGGTTTGTCATAAGGTAGCTACACCAGACGACGCAGTCTGGTTGCGAGTACTATACCTAGAAAGTCAAGAGAAAACGTTGCAGTGGGTGATTGCAAAAGATAGTGCATACACTACTTAGATAGATCCTCCAAAAGTAAATGGCTGTCGTCATTAGAAAGAGGATCTGCTGATGCTTCCACCTTCTACAGCAGCCACCACGCAAAGTAAATGGCGTGTCGCAGGAAGTAAATTCTATGGTGGTGTGTCAAAGTTCATAAGTCAGGAAAATCACCACACTATCCCTTATCGCAATCCTATCAGAAATGCGGAATAAGAAAATTGACGGGTGGTCGTGCTATGCGTGTGAACAGCACCAAAATAAACCAGGCCAACTAAAAAATTGAAAGACGAACGAATTCCATGTGGTCGTGTCGCGTGTTCAGCCAGTCTATAAAAGTCACCATGGAATTCACCGTTTCCAGTGGTATGCCTCTAACTAAACTAAGTTTGTGTGATTGGTTAGAAAAGTTGGCACCTTATTTATCCAATTCGGACAGGGACGCGACAAAAATGATGGGAGGCGAACACGCACAACGCACGTGATCAATATGTTGGAGTGGTAAAATGCCACAACAGATGCCCTGGACGAAAACAACGACTCGTACATATAGTTGGAGGCATACGGTCCCGGAGTCGCCTCAATAGGACAATCTGGGACTACAAAGGGACCATGGGTGAACTGCGATGCGTTATCCACAGCTATATCCATGAATCCCATAACCCATTGTAAACCGGAAGGAATAAAAGCGGGAGACATATGGACGGGAGTCAGGCTTTATCAGCGAAGCCGATTCACACTCCTTCAACATGCACCGCAGTAGCAATCAGGTCTATCCAACTGGGGAATCGTGCATAACAGACGCACACAAGGGCCACAGCACGTTCCACATTGGATGAATGAAACCATTTCTTGAGCCCAGAACGGTCATCAGGGCCGTGCACCCCGTGCCCACCAGCAACGATTCACATTCTCCTGTGATCGAGGTGGAGGGTGTTAGACAGGTAGGCACCTTGTCAACGTTCACATCAAGCGCAGCCACAATGGGGACAACAATCAACAGACAGGTAATTTGAAGGAAACTAGGCACGCGAAGTTGGTAGGGAATATGCGGCAGAATAACATGACTGAGAAAAACAAATAAAGTGGAATACGTCTGTCCACACCTTCGTAGCAGAAGTGCCAGTATTATAAAACAATACACCGATTTTGATTGATGGGCAAACTGTACATGAATTACTCCAAAGAAGGGGACACGGAGTTTTGGAAGAGCACACCCAAACTATTCGAGCCTGTGATCCCACATTGCCCACCAAGAGTCCGTGTGAGAAAGCACACTTGTTTAAACTAGTCAGAAATGCCATGAAACATGAATAAAGAATGTCTGTTGTCAGATACCTATAACGAAAACGTCGTAAAGCACGATACTGCAAATGCGTCTGACGCTATAAAGAAGGACGTACAAAGCTGTTACATTTCGCATTTATGTGTACTCGACAGTGCCTCGGAAGAAGGGATGTTATCTGTCGTTACACAGCCTTTGGAACTTATGGATGCACGTCGACGGATTCCGGCTGGAAGCGAATACTGATAAGCTTGCAAAAATCTCAGGGCAAAAGTGCGTGCAAGCCTGAAAAAGACCGCGAAGCCTGGTGGTCGCATCGTGCCCAGAAGATGGAAACAGGCTGCTGAAATTGCATAAGGCCGCAGGGGAATATAGAATTCCCCCAGCACTCTTCAAATTCCGAGGACCTGCTCCAGTAAATGATTTACACCAGTTGTTAGGGAAACTTTGAAAGCAGAAGACTGGACCGACAGACTAGAGCCGCTCCGTCATTGTCCCAATTTGCAAGGGAGGCTCCCGTTCGGAATCCCACAATCATAAAGGGATAAGTCTGATCTCAATTGCCTTTAAACTGCTTGCGTCTGTCATTCTCCACAAACTGACTGGCACTCGTGAATGCCACATTCGGGAGAAGCAAGCCGGGTCCCGTCGAGGTCGGGGCTGCATCGGGCACATCTTCACCTTGCGTCAATTGTTGGAGCACCACCATGTTTATTGGCGACCCATCGTTGTCGTGTTTCTTGACATAAAAGGTGCCTTCGACTCAGTCGATCGGTGTGCCCTTGGGGTCTGTCTGCTGAGGTGAGGTGTGCCTGATAAATACGTAAACATTATCAAAGCGCTGTACGCGCATACTTCGGGCAGAGTGACAGTTTATGGCAAACTGTCGCCACCCTTCAGTATCACCAGCGGTTTTAGACAAGCATGCCCACTGTCACCTTTCCTATTTAATTTCGAAGTCGACGAAATCAGGGAAACAGCATTCGCTGGATACGACCTAAAAGGTGTGGAGCTACTTCCTGGTGAGCAACTTTTGACTTGTAGTACGCGGACGATATTGTCCTAATCTGTTACAGCTCCCAAACATGTCAAGCAGTACTGGACCGGTTAGCAATGAGTGTCAAGCGTTTCGGGCTATGCTTTGCTCCATCGAAATTCAAAGTACTTCTCCAAAATTGACAGGGACCCAACCATGCGTTAACGCTTTGTGGAGATCTGCTAGAAGTCGTTCGGGAATTCAGGTACCTGGGCAGCTATATTAACGCTCGTGCGATCGAAGATGATGTTATGAACCGTATAGCAAAAGCTGGAGGTGCTTTTACCAATCTCCGCCACCTATCGCTCAGACGCCACATTACTCTCACCCTGAAGGGCAGAGTTTATAACGCAGCCGTCCGTTCAACTCTCCTATATGGTTGTGAAACCTGGGCCATCAGGTCGACAGACATAAATAGGCTCGTCACATTCGATCATCGCTGCCTTCGCAGCTTAGCTCATGTCTGGTGGGAGCACCGCGTGAGCAATCAGCGTGTTCGGCGTCGCGTATTTGATGCAGCGAATGAACCGCACAGCACCATTATATCACGCACCAGGCTGCGATGGCTGGGCCACGTGTTGCGCATGTCAGCACACCGACTCCCGCGACGTGCATTGTTTACTCGCCGGGAGTTCGGTTGGAAAAGGAGGGGGAGAGGAGGCCAAGCGATGACTCGGTCGAGAGGAATGAAAACCCTTACTTCGAAACTGGCGTCGGTTGGTACATGCTGACTGCGTGGCTGGCGTCCTAAGGACGGCGAACACGTTTGGTTGGACACACTTGCTGATATGTCTAGGAGCCGGCACGAATGGCATTTATGCTGTGAGTTTCTTTGTCTATCTCACTCTATTTAGGTTCCCCTCTAATTCCGATCTCCTGCAAAACGCATAAGATAATATTTATCATATTTTTGAAGTGTAATTTGTAGTGTAATATTTTAGTCTCATATCTTATTGTTTTGCGGCACATTAGTTGAGGTGTGTTCCTCACCCTCAGCTAATGAGTATTGATGATGATGTTAACGGTCAGGATAACTGGGGTTAGCGCGAGAACAAAATTACAACACGATGATAGAAGAAGCATCAGTGGTCAATGGAAACTGAAACCGAGTCATCTAGTTAAAACCCAGTAATGTGAAATACATCACCCATAAGCATGGATGGTTAAGTGGAAGCAAGCGTATGGGGACGGCGTGAAAAGTCGAAGCAACTCATGTGAATAGTGTGGAAATCCAGCCGGTGGGTGAGATGTCGGCGCAGATAAGCCGGCTCACCGATGTTCCCTAAAGGTCAATCTGCGAAAGGACGGGAAGCTTCACGGGTCGGATGCTGTGGCGCACAATCGTTCATGGTCAATGAGCAGCTACCCCACAAATACAGTGGCTAAAGAATCGACCCAGGGGACAACTAATTCAAAGGGAGTATGATCAAGCAAAAGTTGGTAGATTCGGTGGACACGATAGAAACTGAGTAGAGTGTGTGTAAAGCCGCGAAGACAAAGCTAGGTAGAACGTCAGGACAGGTGTAAGTAATGTATTTAAGTACCTTAGTACCGGGACCGGAGCAGCATAAATCATCCTAGACAGGCTGTGGCGTGGATAAAAGCAAAGAGGAACTCACCGAGATAATGTCCGTTCCGACTTGTCCTTAACAGTCTTTAGAAAGCGGTCGATTTCCGACTGAACATGAATAATAAATGAACAACACTAAGAGTGGAGTAAAAGAGTGCAAAAATGTGAAAGTAGCATAGCATTTGCGCTTGGGCCACGCCCTAATCAAGAGACAAATAAAACTAACACGTTTCGGGTACCGTAATCGATCATTACGCGCTTGTACACAACTAGGGCGAAGAGTGAAAATTCAAAGTGTGTTAACCTTCCAAGATTGCTTTGTGGCGGACGGTGCGCTATGGTGTATCGTCACTTCATGAGCACGTCTAAAAAGCAGGCTTTATTGTTGTTTCACTTCGTGTGATCCGGGGTGGTTGGGGTGGACGAAATTCACCAGCCTCGGGAAAACGAAGGAAAAGGTAATTCTACTTGGTCGACATATTCTCAACCGGCAACTTACTGGCATCCCAGAGAGCTGAATCATGACAACCAGTCAAATCGGTTTGGAGGGAAATATGTCAATTCGATTCTTGGTCGGAGTCTAACACTTCAAATGCGACCTTGAGTTTAAAAATCACGAAATTTCACCATATCGTTCACATCAATCACAAAATGCATTTTCCAGTTCCAAGTGTTGAGAATCTGCTCTCTAAAAAGCCCTGATACTTCAAGATAAAAGAGATCCGAACTAGTGAACCTTTAAAGTGGACTATCCACAAAGAAAGAGAATGCGGGAAGCAGAGAAAGAATGATAAGTAAGCGAGTGGATTCATGGCAACTTAGCCTCAGCGTCAGTTTGGTGAAAGCGAGGAGGACAGGAGTAAAGCATCGAAAAATAAACAGAAACTAACAGTTCAAATGAAAAAACAAATACAGTAGACATGAAACTTACCTGGTAAGACTCGTAAAACTTGGGCACGGAGAAAGCTAGAAGCGTTCCTGTGAATTGGAAGATACAAAGAACGGGTGATGGAAGGTGCGGCTGCATTAGCCCCAGGGGGACCTAGTACGTCCTGGTTGTTCGGATGAAAAAAGCTCCGAGAAAAAAGTGGACACGCGCATGCTGGTGCAATCAAGTAATTAAGCAAATAACACTGCACAACGACTAATTCCACACCTACTAGGAAGGTGTTGAAACAGCCTTGTAAAGATAAAAACAGCTGTTGCAACGCGAGCGGAATCTGTGGCCGAGCAGTCCAAGCGTCTGGATTGTAATCCACAAGAAACCACTTCGAGGCAGTATATATGCTGGAGATCGAGCGGCATCCTTAATATGTATGCCACAGCTGGTCTTTGGGAGGCCGTGAAGTGTGCGTCTGAGGTGCCGGCGCATTGATGATACTCATTTATTGACGGCGAAGCGGCATGTCTTTTATAGAGTACGTTAAGGCCCATTACTAAAATTTGCAATTAGCTTTTCTTCGTGGAGGACTCGACAAGGAACCATAACATTTTCATTGATTACATCTTATTTACTGCGCACTTCTATCAGGGAGAGTGGTTAATTGGGAATTAGAACGTTACTCATTAGCTAGCTCATAAGCAAAGGGCTGTGCGCCGAGCATTGATCAATCAATCGTGAATGGCTCCTTGTTTGATCGCCAAAGTCGCTCATTTAACCGCAACACCGACACAACTGCACCCCACAAGACCGCCTTAAACACAAAAGCACGGAAGTGAACGAAACACGAGGCGAAACAGGCCTCTTGCCTCCAAAGGTTGATGAAGCCATAAAACAAGCCTATAACGAAGCGATCGGTATCCTAAACCAATCGGAATTATGAATTCCCCGTCGGATCCGAGATATTGACAGATAGAAGATGTATTAAGGTACAGGACAATGTGCGACATAAAACCAGGAGCGTAGGTGTTCAGCGAAACGTAGTAGTAACTGTGATGAACCTATAAACTGGGCTTCGAGCCACTTGAAAAGCAGGACGAAGAGAAGATACGTGACACGGGAGATTAGTTTTCATGGAAAACTGTTGTCCGTAAAAGGTCTATGAAAACTGTCTGGGAGGTCAAAAGCAATGTTCATGGTAATGGAAAAATTTAGAGCACTGCTCAGGTGGCGTGTAGAAAATGAAGTGGTCGCAGAGTGATTGGAAGCACGTCGCACCGCCTTGACTAAGATATGCAACAGAGAGAAAAGTACAACGAAGAAAAATGAAAACTTCTAGACGAAGGATGGAACATGAGCATCAAACAGTCGTGGCTGAAGATATTTCTTGGCGCACTGGAAGATAAGCCAAATCGGAGGAAGAGAATTCCAAACGCATGACATGAGACAGAACAGTAATGGATGAAAGTAGCAGGCTTGTGAAAAGAAACTGGCCGCCTACAAAGAATTAGAGTAACTGTCGCGGCACACTCAGAATGAGGATGCCTGTAAGGCTGCATGCCAGAACCAAGTCAACAAGAGGAACAATTGCAATGTCGATAAGTATACTTACCAATGATACACAACGTCAGGAAATTGAAGTGCGCACCCACGTACGTCATCAAGTACAATAGAAGGCCGAACTATGGAAAGAACGAAGACAATAAGACACCAGAAAGAGCAACTATAGCACTAAACTTAAAATGCACATCAGATCCAATGTGAAATTAGAGGGCATCGGTACAGAAGGTGAAACATTGGAAAGCTGAGAAGTGAGTCAATGAACGTGAAAAGAGACCACAATCACAGCAGAAAGGGTTGTTGGCAATGAAAAAGTAATGGTGAAAAGCAGTAATAACCCGCGAGGATTAATGTTTTTTGCAGCCGGATAAAAACAAAGAGAGGTGGTAATGGCTGGAAGAAATAAAGCGTAACGGTCCTGGAGCCAACGCCGAGAGTAAAAACATATGGCTTCAAAGTAAGAGTGAGACAGGAGAACTAGGTAACTTCCATTAGAAAAAAATGATTGAAACGTCAACTAAGATTTTATATATATATCATGCTGAGGCTGATGTTGCATTCTTGATGCTTCTTCACCGCAGTTGGGCTAAACCACCTTACACTTAAACTAGGTCTTTTTAAGCTGGATAAATTTCATTCCGCTTTATTTGGTTTGTTCTGCCTCCCTGAATAATGTTCTATTAACTGGCCACGTTGCTTACACTAATTGCGCTTATCTTCGGTAATTTTGTTGTGTTTGTAGCATTTTAAGTAATTTGTGGAAGTTTTTTACTTATCACGGATTTGTTGCTAACCAAATTACTTCATATGGTAATTTAGCGAAGAGTTATGCCACCGTATCTGTATGCATTATTGGATTTATTTTATTTCAGCTTGTCGTTGAAAGTGAACGGCGGTTGTTTGATATTCCTGGTATGGTTTCGCTTGATGTGTATGTTGACAAGGTGTCTTCCTGTCTATTACCCACTACATCGTTCATACTTGCTCCAGAAGACAGTTGGTCGTTGCTGGAGGGGACGGGGTACACGGTTCTTGTGGTCGTGCTAGGCTCAAAGAGCGGTTCCATGCACTCAGTGTGGAGCGGACTACGGTCCAGCCACCGCCTTGTGTGCGCTTGATTCCTCAAACACAGCGTGCTTGTGTTTGCCTGTGAAGGAGTGTGGGCCGGCTCCGTTGATGAAACGTGGTTCCCATCCGCATGCCTCCCGGTCTTATTCCTTCGGGTTTACACTGGATATGGGGTATGTGGTTGGAGCTGTGGGTGGTGCAGCGCAAGCCATCCATGGTCCCTCTGTAGGCGCAGGCGTCCTGTGGCTTGCCACAGTGACAGGCAAATCCGAAACCGGATGCCGCCAACCATATATATATAATATATATATATATATATATATATATATATATATATATATATATATATATATATATATATATATATATATATATATCGGTAGAGGTAACATGTTCGGGGATTCGAAGGAGCATGAAGACCAGGGTAGGACTGAAGCAAGCTTGTTTTTCCCGGTACTTTGATTTACGAATGGATTCTAACAGCTTGGAGGCAACCGAAATGAGACTGAACCCCAGCTGATAAGCGCAAGCAGTGAGGGAACGCGATACTAAAGCGTAAGACACAATGGAGGATTAAACAAACACAATGTATGGTCTGACTGGAATTTTCCCTCCTCCAGTCCCGTTGCATACTGTACTTTCATTCTATAAATTGTTAAGCGCATGCGCTTAGCTTTAGATTCATTCTTGCCTATCATTGCCGTCGTTGCTCCCTCCAGCTATGTTCATTAGTTTCTATGGTACAGTGATATCTGTCCTATATAGCCTACACTTGTTCACAGTTCGTCAATCATCGACTACCATACCCAATGAAACATCGATTCGTGAGTTGCCCAACGCACGCTGTGTTTGCGGCTTGATATGGTAGAGCACGTGAACATATGCGAGCAAAGCACCAGTAGTTAAATTAGCTCTGCATTCTGTAGTTAGGGATTACGACTGCTAAGTATGAAACGATAAAAAATAGGATCGCTTCATTTGTAGATCGATGGGGTAAAAAACAAGGAACCATGAAAACGGGTGTGATTATATGCAAAATAAATCCGACATTTTTGAAACGAAGACTTGATATAGTCCAGAACGGTTATTAGGGCTTCCGATTTCGCAATGACGTGATGGTTTGGTTTTTGAACGGATAAAGCAAAAAACCCTTTTGGGCAGATGTTCGGTTCGATAGAGCATCAAAAATGGACGACGGCAATTTTCGTTCGCCTAGAGATGCGTTTGAAGGCAACCATGAAAAACGAATGCGGACAGTCAGTATAGACTTTTGTAAACACATTTCCTCAAACAAGTGCCCCGGGAAAACTAGGGTGACGAGATCGGACAACCCACTTGTTTAGTTGCAGACTGGCAAATCGGAAAAACTGAGAAGAGTTGGAATGGCAGGAATTCAAATCTCGTCTTATAAGGAATGAAAAAATGGTTCCTAGGCACCATGATCAAGGGGCACGCCAGACTAGAGATGTGAGCAACATTCAACCAGTGTCAGGACCAGCAAGACGTTGGACGTGGGAGAACCGAAGATTAACGAATGACTGTGGATTTCCGAATGTGAAGCTGCCCGTGGGGCGGGCATGGAAAATACATACCGAAGAACAGTAATACCGATAATGCAAAGGACTTAATGAGGTAAGACGCTCAACCACACAGCAAGACCATACACCAAAGTGAAACAGGAGGTCGTTTAAATAGCTAAAAGAACCGGAAAAGGAGAACACACATTTTCCAGTACCCGGTATACAGGCTTCGCAAAGGTTTGGCAGCTACTGATACTACAGTCCAAGGTGCAAAAGATAGGTTGGCAAACAGCGCCGTAATAATAATAATAATAATAATTCAAAGTAAACGAACAAGAGAACTACTAAGAAGCAGAAAAATGGGGTAGACGCAAGAGCGCCAATGACTTGATGACAGTCAGATTCTATAAAGCATGCATCTATCGATGTGGTTAACCTCGATGATCCTATCCGTGAAGACGACAAAAGTCAACCCGATTCAATGTTACGGCATAAAAACCGTAAAAATTGGCAAGACAGATGGACAAGCAATGCTGAGAACCCCAAAGCGTATTAAATTAAGGTGTAAACACGACGAACCGCACCTAAGCAATGACTGAAACCAAATGTTTGAAACAAATAACCACCGCGGTTTGCGAAATTGGACGTCATCCAATCCGCCGGTAAATGTGTAAAATTAAGGAAGTTCATTCGGAATTGCAAACTCCTCAGCTCAGAGAGTAACTATGGTCTGCGCAATGTAAAGCAGCCGAGTCGACTGTCGATATAACGATAATGATAAATTTGAGTTTAAATGTTATTTTTATTGAATGAAAAATACAAGGCAATACACAAAAGTTTAAAAAGACATCAGCCGTACGACGGTATGCAGTACCGATGCTTCGCTGACGCGCAACCACCACCAGTCGGGCGTGGGCTAAGGATACTGCAAGAGTCGCCCGGTCCTGTAAGCAGGTTCGAAACCGTGCACTCGGACTACTAGGCAAGCTTGTGAACCATTACGCCAACAGCCGACAAAAAATGTCAAGTTACCTGCTAAAGTGACTAACAGTCACAAGATAAAGGAACGCGTGAAGAACACTATTGACGTGATAACTGGGCCATATTTGGCTGGGTGATAAGATGGTCCAGTCCGAATTGCACATTCATGAAGACGATTACCTCTAAGCCTATTCACAGCTACGTAGTGAGTCTTCTCATGACTCACTGTCATATCATTGGCTAGCGATCTCGGGATTGTACCCATTGGTATGTGCTCCGAATCTTCAGTTTGCGAAGTACTGCCGCGAGATTAGGCACGCAAACCGCCGCTTCCCAACATTACCGGGTAGAACACGAAGTGGTCGACCGGCGCGCTGGCTTCCCTATTTGCTTCACAATGAAGCTATTTCATGGATCGGTAGGAAGTACGTATATTGAATTCCTGGATATAAGCGAAGTGACCTAAGCACATCGATTGGAGGCCGTGAATGGAACGATGTAGTTTGATCGAGGACTTGGTGAAGACGTGATGGGATTATAAAAGCGATATTGGTCTACTGGTTACCGTATCCCAAACAATGTATGCGACGGAGAATTCAAGCGAGTGGAATCGTGGTCCGGCAGTTGGAAATTAACCGTGGAAACGCAACTTTTGCCGGATCATCCAGTGAATCGGAGCAGCCTAGGCCGGTTAAACAACGCACTTCGGGCGCTCACTTCACTGCGAATACATCTAGTTGGATGAAGTCACCAGGTAGTTAGATGTTGACGCACCAAACATAGAGAAACTGAACGAAAGATGATGGCAAGTTCGGAAGTGCCATCATTCTGAATGGTGACCATGAACTTTTATTCTGGGGCATTAGCGAGGACACCATGCCCAATGATTTGGATACATGTCATTTTAGTTCTTCACACAACGAAAATGCTATTCATCTAGTTTTATTTGAGGCCTTATCTTTGTTCGCGTCCTGTTCCTCTATTACAATTTCAGTTGCACATGGTAGTCCATGGTAATGCAACCGCAGGAGGTTTAGCAGTCGGACCCATCAAACCGCGATGCTAGAAACATGGCTGTAATTATCATAGTGAAATCACCTGTGCGTGACAATACTGCTTCAGGGAGATTGGCCACACAGTCGACGTTTAGTTATTGGAGTGAATAAATGCTCATAGATCCCATAGGATCGGAATCGGATCAGAACAAACTACGAAATGTGCCTCTGAGGTGACCGTGTGCCTCAGATTCACTATAACTTGGCACCTGAGCTGTAGGATTAGGTATAAACGTGGTGGACTGGCAGCAGACCTTTGCAGCATCAGGAGTGGAACAGGATATGAGGTTGGCAACAACTTTAGCTCAATAACCACGTGAATCAATAGAAGCGTCCACGTCAATAGTATCTAGCATGTGCGCAGGGTCAGCCAGCTCGCATCGATTTACTTTACGTTGAATGTTGTCGGTGAAGCCGGGATCACGAAAAAAGGGGACAGTTTCTGACAACAAGAACACATTAGACACAGTGATGTACCATCGATGTGATCATGGATCG